TTCATAAGATCAAAAAGACATAACATGAATAAATTTAAATGCTTTCTGCCTTGGTAAGTTCTGGAAGCTAGATTAATTAATTCTCCAAAATTTGCAGGTGACCATATGAATTCTACTAAACTTGGCTTTTCAGCAATTACTGTAATGCTTCTTCTAGGTGTTTTCACAGTGGGACTCTGCAAAAGTGGTTTTTTACTTTTTGATAGTAAACACCATATTTCAATCTAAGAGCAAAACCCTAATTCAAATATCTTTCCAATACATTTCCAGCAATTCTAACTTATCAAGCATTTCATCTCAGCCATCATCAATAGCTGTCCAGGTCCAGGCTATAAAACTGTAAATTAATAATTATCCAAAGGCAACCAAGTAGTTTTCACCTATCTTGAAAAATTACATACTCACAATACAAGTTCTACCATTTTTTTCCCCCAAGATTTTCCTTGGGGTTTTTTTTATCCAAGCCATTTATAACTGAATATATACTGTCTTCTGTCCTGTCCTAGGAAAAAAGCAAGTTCTTTTGATAAGTTGGTCACAGAGCCATATTCTCTGAATTAATGCTCGTAGCTTTACTGTAACATTGATGTCAGGATTGCTCAGTAGGAATTCCTGGTTAAGAAAAAATTAAAGATGAAATCTGATTTTCAGCAAAGGTTCTTTATTATCACAGGTCATTTGTCTCCTCACAGAAAGCCACATTGTAATTACAGCACTAATTGCTAATTGCAGTACAGCAGCATCAGTACATCTCTTGAAGCAACGATGACACTGTGGCATTCCCAAAGATGGCAAGATGCTTTCAACAACCTGAGTCGGTGCGAAGGCATGGCAGCGTCATGGGGGAGGAAAGATTTTCTTGATCAAATTTCCAAGCTACTCAGTAAAACTTACACAACTAAAACACACAAAAAGTAGTAAGAGGGAGAGTATTCACTCATACTTCAGTTCCACAAGGAACAGAGGTGGTCTCACTACCCTTGGCTCTTCCCGTTTGATTCTATGGTGAAGGCGACCATCGCCCTTCGCAAAGCCAGGTCGGGAGCTGAGCCCAGTCCAGCCACTCTGCACCAGACAGGAAAGGAAAAGCCGCTGGGGCAGCAGCGGGACCGCCTCTCCCCCT